TCTGCAATTTTGTTACTTTATAGATTGGTCGGGGTACTTATGGCCACGTTTACAAGGCTCACCCTCGTCGGCCAGACATATTTGGCGAAGATACGAAGAAGGAATATGCGTTAAAGTTGATTGAGGGTCAAGGATTTTCGATGTCTGCTTGTAGAGAAATTGCTTTACTGCGAGAGCTGAAGTACTTTCTATTAATTTGAGAGGATAATTGTTCAGCAAATTATGTTTTTATTTTATTTTTCTATAAGAATTTGGTCGTTGATTTTTCTTTTCAGGCATCCAAATTTGATACGGTTACGTAGGGTTTTTTTAACCCTTGAAAGAAAAGTGTGGTTTTGTATGGATTTTGCCGAACATGATTTATGGCATATAATCAAGTTTCATCGTGCTGCCAAGCAGAAGAAAACTCCTGTTTTGGTTCCTAAGGTATTGCTATTTCACTGAGCTTGATTAGCAAAAGATCGTTGCTGACATTTTAGTCTTGACAGTCTCAGTGCTTTTAGGGAATGGTAAAAAGTTTGCTTTATCAGATCCTTGATGGCATTCACTACTTGCATACGAATTGGATTTTACATCGGGATCTAAAACCTGCAAATATCTTAGTCACTGGAGAAGGACCAGGAGTTGAAAGAGGACGGTAATTATTGGTAACTGTTGAGGGGTTTTTTCGTAAGGGATTTTGGAGCACTAAAGCTTGTTATTATAGCCCTGAAGTTTGAAAAGGAAATCTTTTACTAGTAAATTGGCTTGACTTTTGGAGATTCGTATTACATAAAAATGAGGTTTTATTTTGGTTTTGAACTTCAGAGTCAAGATAGGTGATATGGGCTTTGCCAGAGTATTTTATAACCCACTCAGGCCTTTAGCTGAACTTGATCCCGTGGTGGTTACTTTTTGGTACCGTGCCCCCGAATTACTTCTAGGAGCGAAACATTATACTAAAGTTAGTTATTTTTTTGTTCATTGGCAGTAATGCTTTTCAATCTAATTGAGATAAATTTAGTGTTTTTACTCCGTTTATATTTTTGAGGGTCAAACCTGTGATGTGGAATTAAACCTTCGCAGTTTCATTTTCTGCTGTCGTTTAATGATGTTTTTTAGGCTATAGATATCTGGGCAATTGGTTGTATATTTGCTGAGCTTCTGACATCTGAGCCAGTTTTCTTCTGTAGGGAGGAAGATATTAAAGCTTCCAGTCCTTATCACCAAGATCAGCTCAATAGAATATTTACGGTGATGGGGTTCCCCTCTGAAAAGGAGTGGGAAGATTTGAAGAAAATGCCGGAATACCAAAAACTTATACAAGATTTTAAGCGGACAAGGTACAGTTAGCCGTATCTGATTTTTTTAATATTTTTTTGCTTCAAGTGATTTTAAATTTTAGGGAGCATGTTGGAAAACCGAATGTAGTTCCTTTTCACCTGATGCGTTTACACATATGAACCAATTCTGGGTTATTTCATTACGATCTAAAGTTTTTTGTTTCCAGTTATGCAAATTGCACTTTACAACGTTATATGGAAAAACACAAAATCCGTGCAGAAACGCCTGCTTTTTCTTTACTGCAAAGATTATTAACTATGGATCCTATAAAGCGTATAACTGCGCAAGAAGCTTTGGACGACGACTACTTTAAGGTGTCTTGCTCACTTATAGGCTTATCTTGTTCTTTAAAATTTTCACTCTAGTTTTTTTTCAAATTTAAAAAATTACTTTACCTCTGCTCTTTTATCTCTTTATTCTTTCTTAGATTATGTTACTTTCCTCGTTTAACGTTTCAAAGCTGGTTCACATTTATTTTTGAATTCGATTTTAATGGTGGGCTGGTATATCAGAATTTATTTTTTTGTAAAGTATCTTTGGAGGTATTTAGGAGGATCCGAAACCTACTGCCGACGTCTTCAACGGATGTGCCATCCCGTATCCAAAAAGAGAATATCTTTCTGATGAAAATGAAGTTAAAAGTGGTTCTGGTTCTAAAACGCAGCAAGCGCCTCCTCCCCAGCAGAGCCAGCAACAAGTAATATCTGATCTGTTAACACAATTACAAAATAGTTTTTTAATTACATCTTTAAATTTTAATCAAATAATTTTGCCTTTTTTTTCAGCCTATCACAATGCATCAGCAACAACCGATTATCGAACCTGCCGCTAAAAAAATGCGGTTACAGTCTACGCAACAGATGCCTCCTACACAACCACAGGTTGAGTTCAGCTCAAGACAACTTGTCATCAGATTTAGAAATTTTGCTCTGAATTTTTAAAACTTCAATTCTATTACATTTAAGTCAGCACTGCTCCCCAAAGAAAATAAATTTTGATGCCTTTTTTAGTTAACTTCTATTTCTAGTCAAATATTCTGTCTTCGTTTTCTTTTTTCTTGTGTTCTTACTCGTCAATTAGCATCCTTCTGGCGAATACGCCTTTATTGTGAACTTTGTTTCCTCAAACTAACTAAGGAATTAAGTTACTAGTATATAGGAACTTGAAGTCTTTTTATAATTGGTCCTGAGTAAAAATAATTTTTTTAAACAAAAAAAAGTTACAGTAGTATGTTACAGATGGAACCACCACTGATAAATCCATCTGTTAGCGGTATATTTGCTTCAAATGTTTCTAACCAAGATTATCCTCCTGTCGGCTCTGGTTCAAAAGCAATGCAGTTTGAACAGCAGCACCAACCTCCGGTAATACAGTCTCAACAAATCAATAACAGCAATATGCAACAACTTCCATACCCACAGCATCAGCAACATCAAATAATCTCTCAAGGCCCGAACATGTATCAGGTAGCAGCGGTTTCAGCACATTTTTTGCTTTCTGTGCTCTTGCTATATTTGTTTAATATTTTTGTGAACTTTGTTGTTTTTCAATGCTGTTTTTGAAGCAACAGCCACAAATATCAATGAATCAACCTATGGTTCCTACCTCACAACCTCATATATCGGCTCGACCAATGCAAATGCCTGCTCAGACAAATATTATGCAGTCCAGTTACCAGCAACCTATAATGCAGCCTAGTAATGCATTTTTTACTTCTATTCTATCATATTCTTGAACCTAAGTAAATTATTTTCTTTTTTCATTTTGAAATCGCTTCAGTTTCATTTACAGAGGAAGATTTGATTTTTCACCATTGTTATTACTACCATTGCTCTTATTGTTACTTTTGTTACTACTGTTATTATTACTAATATAATTGTTGAATTACTTGTACAGATATTATGAATGGTAACGGGAACAACATTGTTAATCAGCCAGTCAATATGAACAATACTGCTCCACTGGGTGCTCCTCAAGGACAGATGGCTGCTCAGCCGCAAATGATACAACCGATGAGGTCTCAAATGCAGTATATGGACCCTCAAAATGGCAGGGTGTTATCGCAGCCTGGTAATGGTTGATTTTCAGTTATTGCTGTCTTGAACTGCACCTTAACTGCGACTTTTTTCTTTTGGACCTCTTACTAGGCTGTCGTTTTCTATTTTCTTTAGTATTGGTTAAATAATTTGCAGGTGGTATGATAGTTCCTCAACCAGCTCCAGAGATGATGCCTCAGCAGGGACAGTACATGATGCCACAGCAGCAACAATGGCCACCCATGCAACAAAGGTATCAGTAAATTGGTGACTAGATGGATTTTCTTATTTTTTATTTGGTAGTGATAGTATCATCTGCGGGTTCAACTTCTTAGGAAATTATAGGTAGCTTCACTATTTTTAACATTTCCCACTTTGTCTGTACTGATGTAATGCAGTGTTAAAATACTATGCTTCATCTTCTTTCATTTTTCTTTTGACGATGTAATTTGCTCCGCATCTACGTCTATAGATCTCTTAAGGTAAAAATTTTATAACCGTTGTTAATGACGTATACGTGTACTCTTTTAGCACAATTTTTCAGAATGGTATCAGGTTGTCTTTAAGTTTTTACTGCATTTTTAATCTAGTTAGCTTTTCCTGCTTTGTAGCAGTGAAGTCTCAAAAGTCTCTATGGCAGGTATCACTTGAGTGTACATTGATAACGATATTATATTTTGCAACCTCATTCAGGCGACGATTAACATAATTCTGTTGCGACAATGCTTGTGCAATATAATAAGAATTAGGCGATTGTTTATAACTTTTTTTTTATAAGTCAAGGTAAAGAGTTTTCAAGAGCAAAATGTATGAAATTCTTCAAAAAACTTCTATTTTGAATGGTTCGAATAAAGAGGCTTTTTCGGTAGTTCTACCTTGAATTGTTTAAAAAACCTGAAGTAGAAGTAGGGGGTTCCTTTAAAAGATTTTTGTTGTTTTTGGCTTACTGGAGTCGAATTTGGACTTAAAGTTTTTTAGCACCTTTTTTCAAAGACGGAAGTTCTTAGTCTTCAAGGTGGCTTCTGAAGGAAAAATTTGTTAGTCTGAACGGGGAGGGAGAGCATGGAGTTATTGAGTGTAGAGCGATAGAATGTTTACTTAATGACACTGTCTGGCTACTGTTTATGACCTATCGTTCAGTCCGAAGGTTGGAAGGGAAGACGCGAGACTTTAAAATATGGGAGCTATTGCTTTCGAACACATTCTTCAGTGGAGTATTTTAGAAAACATGTTTCTAATTTGGATATACACACCTTCAGCTAACTTCTTAAAAAACGATTCGTTATATCAACAGGCGAACTTAAATCAATTGATTGAGATATTGCTAGTTAGAAGGAATTTTTTTAAGAATGCTATTCTTTGAATGAGCAGTTTGCTGTACATAGCCTGTGAGGTATTTCTGCTGTAAGCTTTGTCTGTTTAATGTCAATGTATTGTTGAGTACTGGGGGCGGTAGTGATCAACTTGTTAAGGAATGTACAAAGTGCTGTTATCTGGTTAATAGCAGGGGTATCAAAAAAGGTATTTTTGAAACAAAAATTTTACTTTTTAAATTTCTTAATTTTTTCTTTTGTGTTTAAACTCAGAAAAAAAAAGTAGTTTCCTGCTTTTATTTGCTCTTTTATGTAAGGGGAACAAAATATTTGGAAGGTAGGAACTTTTCCTGCAATTGAAGCGCTGCCACAAAATATTTTAGCTTTTTAGATATTCCCATTGCAATCTTTTCTCAGTCGACCTTATCAAATTACAACGTAATTTGATAGCAACATCGAAATGATAAAACCATAGCCAAAAGAGGGAAAAAAACTAATGACTCAAATGTGAGGTGGATTTTCAGTGAAAATATTTGACAAAACCACCTAAATACAATTTTTTCTTCAGCCAAACAGTACTATAATAATAAGGCCGACTGAGAAAAGACTATAACGGGAATATGCAAAAAGCTAAAATATTTTGTGACAGCGCTCCAGTTGCGGGGGAAGTTCCTGCCTTCCAAATATTTTGTTCCCCTTATATAACAGAGCAAATGAAGAGCAGGAAACCACTTTTTTTTTTGAGTTTAAAAACCGAAGAAAAAATTTTGAAATTCAAGTATAGATGTTTTTGTTTCAGAAAATATCTTTTATAATATTTTTGCTAGTAACCGAATAGCACTTTTGCAAATTTCTTGATTACTTAATCATTTTAGCTTTCAATACTCAACAGTACATTGACAACAAACAGACAGAACATACAGCAGAAGTACCTAACAGCTATGTTTAGCAACTTGCGTATTCATAGATGAAAAACCTCTCCAGACTAGCATTGTTCCACTCTGTTAATATAGCTAACTGTTTTAAGAAATTAGCTGAAGCTGTGCATACTCGAATTAGAAACCTGTTTGTCTGAAATATTCCAGTGAAAAAAAGGCGTTTGAAAGCAATGTCTCAAATGATCATTGTCGTTGATGCTCTTTTGATGCATTTTACTATTAACTGTCAAAATGTTGATAGGCCACCTGCTTCCTTTTTTTTTTTTTCAATTCGATTATTGGTTGCAAAGGTTTTTTTTGGAGTAAGGGGATGGTTACTACCAATCATTATTGATTGGTCATAAGTTGGGAATAATTGATTAAAGCAACAGGAAATTGTACAGTTTTTCAAATTTCTGGAGTATAAAGCGTGGTTTAAAATCGTCTGTTAAAAATTTCTGCAGAAAGCTTGTATCAACATTTTGTCATTGAAGATTTTTTTTTTGACATCAAAGCAGATTTAACAGTTTTTGAGCAAAATGAGAAGCAAAAAATTTATGGTAATGTTAAGCAAATGGAATTATGGCTGATCAACTTAAAACTTGAAGGGAGTTGATGATTTTTAGATTGACATTTCTTTCTTTCTTTTCTACTTTTTTCTTTCTTATTATCCTTGTTTATAAATTTGTTGAACAGGTGATTCTTTTTATTGCTTTCTATAAGTATACAATTTTTGCTCTATCTTATGCTTGAATTTCACCTTTTTTCTTTTTGCTTCTAATATTTGTTGGCCATCAATTGTTGTTTGCAAAACTTGCGCTTTTATATGAACTTGGATGATGTTGTCAGATATGTTGATGCTATCAAAAAAATAATGATTATTAATTGTTTATGTTTTTGCCTAAGTTTTAATCGGATAAGTTTTCTGTTTTCAAATTTCTGTACCCGATTTTGACACACTGTTTGCTTTCTCAGCTTATTTTTGCCTTTTACTTTTTAGTTTTGTCACCGCATTGATTTTGAATGATTGTCGTTGTTCAGTCAGAATTGATGAACAGGTAAATAGCAACAGAACTGGGTTGTTTGTTGAAGAATACTTGTATACTTTGGTTTTGTCAATCATTCATCGTTTTATCGTTAAAGCTAAGACATTTTAAAACATACATTAAATTCGATGTAGTTTTTTTTTTTGGGGGGGGGGGAAGGGGGGCCAAGAATGAGCAGCGAGAGAAAGAAGAAAAACGTGAAAACGAATAGCCAATTTGGTCAGATTTGTTAAGAAAATTATCCGGGAAGTTTTACCCGGTCGGGCACGAAAATAGTTTGACGATTGAATTCAGTTCAAAAAAAAAAAATTTTCTTTTATTTATTTTAACTTTATCATTTTTCTCACATCAAAAAAAGTTTAAAAGTACTTGAAAGGTTAAATGTGCCAATTAATTTATTGCATTTTTGAGAAACTACGCGGTTACATTTTACAATACAATGAAATCAAAAAATTTTTGTGTTTGCTCTTAATTGGTTTATTCGATTTTTTTTTTTTTTTTTTTTTCTGTTTCTGTTGGGATATGAGGACGGGGAGAATTTTATTTTGTTTTGCAACATTTTCGTCTGCCGATCTGCGTAAATTACAACACAGTGAGGCGGAGCAGCTGTTAGACAGGAAATTTTTTTTTAGTTATTATGATAAACTGATAAAATTATTACATATTTTGTAGCAATTGATACACGATCAGAAGTATTTAGTTGATGAACAGTTCCTTGGAGTAGTTTCTTGCACGGCTCGTTTATAGTTTCAAAAATTATTTCTATTTTCGTTTGATAGGTGGATCCAAATTGTTCTGTTAACATGGATTTGGTGATTTGCAATGGTAGTGGTTTCTTTTTCTTTTATTTGTACACAAAATGTAAAAATTTTGCAAAAGTTTTTTGCTTTTTTTTTTTTGTGAAAATATACGATGTACTGTTGTTTGATGCAAAATATTTGATGATGCAATCTTCTGAATTTTTTTTTTCTTTTTTGAAGAGATTTCGGTTTACTTTGTAAGAAAAGTTAGAGAAAGGAATTGTCTCTTTTGCTGTCGAAATAATTAGGTTTACATTGACTATAAATTATTTTCGTTTTGCTTCTGTTTGTCCTTTTTGTTTTTTCGTTGAATTTTAGTAATGAGAGCAAAATTTGAGGTTCAAAATCAAGTTTTTATATTTTGACTATGTTTCACGGAAAAAAAATTAAACTGAAATATGGTTATAAAAGAGGCTAATGTCGGGTATTAACAGTCGTAGTTTATCAGCTACCTAGCAATATCTGAAAATTTGACATCGAGAAGATGACTCTGTTAGGGGTTGGTGGAAATTTTTTGTTTTATTGAAGTGTTTTTCTCAGCATATTACTTCAGCCTCGATTGTCTGGCATTGATCCTATAATTGTGGTCTAGACAAATGGCTCAGAATTTGTAGCACTGAATAAATATCTTGAGCTCTCTTAGGCATACACCTACAGTCGCCAACAAAAGTGACATTTCGGACTACTAGGAAAAAACATACACTTTCAGTCATTTTTCGCTTGACACTTTCCACTTTGCCAGATCCTTCTTTCTGAGTCTTCAAGTTTGTTTTTACATCTGTCTCTAAATTTTATTTTTTTACATCATAGAGCTGCAATTGATCCGATTTCTATTTTCTTTCAAAATACTGTAGTTTGTTGCGAGATGTAATAAGTACCTCCGCAAACCATTTACTAGTAGAAAGATTTCTGCTTTTATACTGTAGCTTGAAACTATTTACCATTATAAACAACGACTTACAAGTATTTGAGCGCATCCTATTTTTTAATAACTTTTCTTCACATTTTTCCTACGTATTGCGTAGTATTTTCTATTATTGTAGAAATTTTTTTCAGCATTTATTAAAAGAAGATAAATTCTTAAAGTGACAAGTTAAGTAAAGCTATTTTTTAAAAATGTTTCTTATTATACTATAAGCCGGAAACTTTTTTCAAAATTTTTGCACTATATAACATCTACTAAAGTA